ATTGGCCAAGCTCATTGCACAGCCCAGGGCTTCTCGCATCCCTCCATCTCCCCACGTGCCACCTTCCTAGCCCCCTCTATCACAGGAATGCCGTGCAGCTCCCTCATACCAGGGGCTCTGTGAGCCCCTCCATCCCCCTTCCCCCATGCCAGGGGCTCTGTGTGCCCCCCATCCCCCTTCCCCCCCCATGCCAGAGGCTCTGTGTGCCCCCATCCCCCTTCCCCCCCCATGCCAGAGGCTCTGTGTGTCCCCCATTCCCCTTCCCCCCATGCCAGGGGTTCTGTGAGCCCCGCCATCCCCCTTACCCCCATGCCAAAGATTCTGTGTGCCCTCCAGTCCCCTTTCCCCCATGCCAGGGGCTCTGTGTGCCTCCCCATTCTCACCTTCCCCCCATGCCAGGGTCTCTGTGTGCCCCTCTTCCCCCCCTTACCAGGATTCCCCACACCGGTATCTGTGTGGACTCCTCTATTCTCCCCTCCCTCCATTCCAGGATTCCCCATTCCCACTCCTCCACAGGGATCTGTAACGACAAGCCTGTGGGTCGGCAGCAGAGTTTGAACACGGGACTTTCAGATCCACACGCCATGAGCTTTGGCAGTGGGTGACACATTCTTGGCTAGACCCAGGGGTGAAAGTAAGATAAAATACTTACCAGTACAGGGGCCCAGCTCTGGGCCCCCGGAAGGAGCGGGGTTTTGGGCGGAGGGGGTGGGGCTGGGATCAGCCTCCCCCAGCCAGCCCTTCCACGTTGCCCGGCCCATACCGCCTAGGGCTCTGGTGGTGATTTAAAGGGCCCGGGGTTCCGGCCGCTGCCACGGTAGCAGTGGCAGCTGGGAGCCCCGGGCCCTTTTAAATTGCCAGGCCCCGGGGCAGCTGCCCCTTTTGCCCTCCCCCGCCCCCCGCCAGCAGCACTGGGGGGGGGCGGTAAAAGGGGCAGCGATGTTAAAGCGCTGCCATGGCAGCATTTTAACGTGGGCTATGTACAGGCCGGTACCAGCAGCCACTTCTTACCAGTATGCCGTACTGGCCCATACCGGCCCACTTTCACCTCTGGCTAGATAGCAAAAGCACACATTTCTAAAAAGATTAAAAATCAACATGAAATAGTTTAGCTCAGTTTGACTTTTTCATTTCAATTTACTTTTATATTGTATTGTATTTGTGACGGTGTACCCCACAAGGCTTTATGGAAATATTCTTATGAATGTATATATAATATAACTGGAATATGTTTATGCTACATATGTCATGTAACATCTCTCTGTAATCTATTAGTCCTATTTGTATGCATGTATCATTTTTGTATTTGAAGTTATGAATATTGGCTGGGCAGTGGCTTGATTTTTAAGTAGCCTTTGTAAAGCATTTGGTCAGCTTCTTGAGAAAGGAATGTGCAAATTAAGTGCCCAATCAAGAAGCACTTAAGAGACAACTAATCTTGAGAGGCTCCAATCCACATTAGAAGTCTACATGAGGACGTTCAAGGCAGCAGGTAAGCAGTGACTTGCCCATGTGACTCCAAAACTCCATCTTGGAGCTGGACTTTGCATAGGGGAAAGGAGGGGGTCTCCACCCAGAAAAGAAAGTCTACTTAAACCCCTGGGAGACCCCTCCATTTGGTCTTCAGCTGGCTAAAGAGAGAGCCTCTCCACCTCCAAGGATACCTGAAAGAAACTGGAACAAAGGACAGTAACTACAGGGGTGATTGCTGGACCCAGATTAGAAGGAGACTAGTCTGTAAAAGGAAGCTTACTGGAACTGGTGAAGTTTTATCTGTATTCAGTTTTCTTAGACATAGACTTGTGTGTTCTATTTTATTTTACTTAGTAATTCACTTTGTTCTGTCTATTACTACTTGGAACCACTTAAATACTACTTTCTGTATTTAGTAAAATCACTTTTTACTTATTAATAAACCCAGAGTATGTATTAATACCTGGGGGGGGGCAAACAGCTGTGCATATCTCTCTATCAGTGTTATAGAGGGCGAACAATTTATGAGTTTACCCCATATAAGCTTTATACAGGGTAAAACGGATTTATTTGGGGTTTGGACCCCATTGGGAGTTGGGCATCTGAGCGTTAAAAACAGGAACACTTCTTAAGTTGCTTTCAGCTAAGTCTACAGCAGTGGGACGCGTGGTTCAGACCCTGGGTCTGTGCTGGTGTGTCTGGCTCAACAAGACAGGGTGCTGGGGTCCGAGGCTGGCAGGGCAAGCAGGGGCAGAAATAGTCTTGGCACATCAGTTGGCAGTTCCCAAGGGAGGTTCTATGACCCAACCTGTCACAGTATTATTAATAGATTATTCATTATTTTGATATTATATTATTGTAACCCTTCTGACAGTCAGTAGTGGCAGCAAAAAGGGCTGGGTTCAGTATCTAGGGGTTCCTTTTCAACAATTCAACACAAAACTGGCTTGAGCCCCCACCCAGTGATCTGGGACTATTACACACCACCCCCTGGGCACCTCTAAGAGGCAATACTTCCCCTCTCGCAAACAGAGTCTGAGAGTAGCAAAGAAACTTTTAATAAAAGGAGGGAAGTAACTCAGCATTGATTTGGGAAAACACCTCAACTGGGGTTCATAAACATAAACCATGAGCATAATACCCACCCCCCAAGTAAGTTGGGCAGTGTCCTTTTCCCCTCAGGTTCTTAAGTCCAGCAACCAAAAGTCCCTTTAACATGTCCGTCCCTCCTCTGCACCCCACTCACAGTTGCTATCCTTGGTCAGTGCAGACTCAGAGTTCAGAGATGCATCTGCGGAGTTCACCGCCCACTCTGGCACCTTACTCACTCTGCTGCCCAGGCACTTTATCGCAGCTGCTCTTTGCCGGCCGCCCTGCCTGCCTATCAGCAGTCTGCTCCTCTTCGGCAGCTGCCCTGCTTGCCAATTGGTGCGCCACATCTCTCTGCCAGCCACCCTGCTGTCCGATCACCACACTGCTCTGTGGTGCTCCACTCCAGGCCTCTCTAGCAGCTGCCTCGCCAGCTGATTGACGCACCTCTCCACTGACCATCATGCCAGCTGATTGTCAACCTGCCAGGATGCCTTCAAGTCCCACCACTTAACACAGCTCTCAGTGATTCTAATCATTAGTATGGGAGCCTCACTGCTGGTACATACTGGACAGTTTCTTACACCAGAAACACTGTCCCAAAGCAAATCTAACACTCAGACCTAGATATCACTGATTTCAACTCCCCAGTATGTAACAAAACTTTCAATTGAGTCTGAATTAGCTCTTTTATTACACAGTGGTGGGTGGGTGGCTGAAATCATCCCCAACGAACTTGCTCATATTCACCCCCACTACTGATCTTCTTTGGAACCCATGTCCCCTGCCCAGCAAGTGCCATTAGTTAAGGGTGAGACTCTCAATCATGCCATGCCAAGCACAATTCTGCTGCCCTTAATGCACACAACAAGGATATGCATCCGAAGAAGTGGGCTGTAGTCCACGAAAGCTTATGCTCTAATAAATTTGTTAGTCTCTAAGGTGCCACAAGTACTCCTGTTCTTCTTTTTGCGGATACAGACTAACACGGCTGTTACTCTGAAACAACAAGGATAACAACCCTTTAGTGCCCCTGCCCCCAGTAACAAGGAGACTGGGGATCCAACACTAGCCAAAAGTGATCATTTGGGCAAGCAATCCCATCATGCTGAGCACCTAGGCAGGGTGGGTGTGCCCATGCAAATGAGATCAGCTCCTGAAGTCCTCTTCCACAGCTCATCACTAGATGTCGGGGGAGAGCTCATTCAGACCCTGCTTACATTATAGTGGTTTGACACTGTCACTATAAAACATTCTGATAAGGTCATTCTGATGGGTCCAAATCAAAATATTTTGTTCTGCAAAATATTCTGAGATTTTGAATTTTCCTCCTGATCTGGGACAAAATTACCTTTCAAGGTGTCACCATTCCTATCAGGACAGGAATTCCATTTTTCAGCTAGCTCTGGCCTAAGGCAGTGTAACCACAGGGATGAGACGGGAGTCTTCAGGGTTAGAACCGGGGTCTGGTCCCTGATGTGTTCCGTGCAGTCACTCAGCTAGCACCTCTGAGAAAGGGGAGCGGCTTATGCCTGCCTTCCCCTGGAGGGGATAGGAGGCCTTGAGCTTAGTGTGTGTGTGTGTGCACATGTGCAAAGTGAGGCCGACCCAAGAGTACCCATGTGGTTTCTCCATTTTCTTTGTGTTGTGTGAAAAGCAGTAGACACAGACAGGGTGTTTTGGGGAATCAGTCTCTCCTGCACACCGATGCATTGTAGCTCTCATAAACAGGGAGGGTTGCCATCTTTTGGATTGCTGGTAACCAGACCCCCAAAGCCCTGCCCTCTTCCCCATTCCTTTCCCCAAGTCCCTGCCCCCACCCCATCTCTTCCCCCAAGGCACCACCCCTGCTCCACCTCTTATCATGAGGCCCAGTCTCCTTGTCCACCTCTTCCCCCCACGGCCCCACCCCAGTCAATCACTCCTCTCTTCCCCTTATTCCCCTCACTGGATCGTCTCCACCTTCCTCCCCCCACCAGCTGGGCTCCCTCTGCTCTGGGGCTGCAGGACCTGCTGCAGTCTGACAAGGAGCCTACCTGCAGGTAGGAGGCGGGCCTGGTTGAGTAGGGGCTGGCATGGTTTAATGAGCCGGTGCCTCCCCCCACCCCGCGGTAACTGTCCTTTTGATGTCCGCTCAGTACATCTGACTGGACATTGTCAGGTCCCCTTTCGACCGGACTTTCTGGTTGTAAAGCGGGCACCTGGCAACCAAAGAAACAGCGTGGATAACTGTTCAGATCCCCCTTTAGCCACCTGCACAAGGCCTGGCGCCACGAGCCCCTGCCCACCTGTTCTCTCCCAGTCTGGGCACTAACAGGTGTTAGAAGAGGTCTGACCACAGCACCTGTGTCGCTGGGCCCTGCAGGTCAACAATAACCACACGCACAGCTCAGCCGAAAGAGTCATTTACTGGGGCTAGCAGGGCGCCAAGCCCCTGGGACAATGGCACAGTCTCTTAGAACACAGATGACCACAGTCATTCCAAACTCAGCCCTAGGCAGCCCAGTGGAGAGGCAGCAGGGTAATCGTGGGGCTCCTTGGGCCTAGTACCTAGAATGCCCCCCAGCCCACCCAGCAGCAATGGAGACACTGACGTACACAGGCTGGGAAACGTCTCCAGCGACTGTGCTAACCCAGGAACGTATCAGGCTGGACACACGGAGCTGGTCTGCTCTGGCAGGCTCTGCTTATGGTGACCATGAAGGCCCCTGGCACTCCCAGCACTGCCGTGCTCCAAGCACATCACAGACTCTGGCTGGGCACAATCTGGGCACAAACTGATTGGGACTCGGGTGCTTGAATCCCTTGGGCACCGTTCACAAAGCAGTTCTTCCCAGGTCCTGCCTCCCAACTCCTCGGGAGGCAAGTGCTGCCATCAGCACCTCACCGGAGGGAAGGGTGAGTGCTCAAAAGCTAAACACAGGTGTGTGCCTCAGGGTGGCTGCCCCTCGAGGGAGATGACCACAGCCTGTGACACGGCCATTTCCAGGGGAGAGGAGCCATGTGACTAACCTGGTTAGAGGGGTTAGAGACGGGGGGGCATGGGCAGTGGCAGGGAGCCAGGCAGAGCTGCAGCAGCGAACAGCCCCCTCAGGAAGGAGGGCTGATCGCAGTCGGAAATGGCGCAAAGATGCTGCAGAGGGTGTGCTGCAGGGACCCTGAGAGACATGGGGAGGCTGGGGGACCAGCAAAGGGCTTTGCCTGCAGACCCGGTGGAGCCATGGGGCGCTGGACAAGGCAGGTAGAGAGGTCTGCTCATAGGCTAAGCTGGGGGGGGGCTCTTTGAATCCTTTGGCATTTTAAGGCCATAAACAAGACCCAAAAAGGGCTGTTTGTAATTGGACTCATGAAAGGCTTTTGGGGAGCTATTTAGAATCCAAGAGGGGAAACTGAGACAGGGCACTGCATAGCCACCCCTGGCCCCAAGGGGGTGCTCGGGGGTGGCTGGCCCTGTTACAGGGTGAGCACCCTCGTACATCTGGCCCATGTGATTCCCCAAGGTCCCAGTGGGAGTTGGGGTCAGAGCTGGAGATGGACGAGAGACACTCCCTGGTCCCAGGTCCATGTGCAGATCTCCGGAGCGCACCTGCCTCTTTCCCATCGCAGGCCGAACAGGTCGATTACATTACCACAGTGATACAGACAATTCCTTGCTTTGCGCCCCCACCCATTTTCTGGCCCCACTAGCCAAGCAGCATTGGGCCTTCAGTACATTGGGAGCAGGCTGGGTTTAATGACAACATAATCCTTGGTCTCGTAGCTCAGGGTTCTCCAGTCAAGGACGAGGTGAGGCAGGACCCCATTGCTCATGGCAAGGCTAACTTCATCCGGGGAGAGCAGAGTGTCCCACATGTACACATCTGTGATTTCTCCAACAAACGACTGATTAATGTCGAACCCACCCCCCGGGGTGTCCTGCTCCTGCCCCAGGACAAGCACACCCTGGTTGCTGACAGAGTAGCCTTTCTTCAGCCCCTTCCTGGGTAAGGGGCTCCCGTTCACCCAGAGCTCGGCTATGCCGGTGGCGGACTCCCAGCTGGCACAGACATGCACCCACCCAGTGCTTGTGTCTGTTCTTTCTGGGACTTTGAAGGTGACGAGTTCCCCTCCGACGTACAGTCTGAGCTCCCCGGGCTTGGGTTTGAAGAGGAGGAAGTCGTTGTCCATGGCCTTGGTGGCGTAGGAGAAGAGGCTGTAGGGCCGGGTCAGGTCGCCCCCGAATCTCAGACACACACTGACGTTCCGCAGCGGCTGCTCCAGCCTCGGCTTCAGGAGGACGTGGGCAGTTGCAGACGCCTTAGGGAACACGAACACTTTGCCGTGTAGATCTGCCAGGGAGACACAGGCGGCCAGTGAGGCTGGGTTGTGTGCCAGCATCACAGCCTGGCTCTTGCCCTGACCTGCCCCATCACTGCCCCAGGGCTGGGCAAGCAGGAGGCCTGGCTGCCCTGCCAGCCCCGCAGGAAGTGGGCTAGCGACTCAGGAGCAGAGCGCTCCCCACCAAGCCCAGCACAGAGCTGGGGGGGTTGGGGCATGGGGTGGACCCCAGAAGGTGATTCAGGCAGGGGGATGGAGGTACTGTGGTGGGGATTTGGGGGGGGGTGCTGGGTACAGTTTGGTTGGGGAGTGCTGGGGATGATTCGGGCAGGGGGTGCAGCTGGGGGGGAGGAATAGCTCAGTGGTTTGAACATTGGCCTGCTAAACTCAGGGTTGTGAGTTCAATCCTTGAGGGGCCATTTAGGGATCTGGGGCAAAAATCTGTCTGGGGATTGGTCCTGCTTTGAGCAGGGGGTTGGACTAAATGACCTCCTGAGGTTCCTTCCAACCCTGATATTCTATGATTCTATGAGGGGGTGCAGAGTGCGGGAGGGTGGTTCAGGCAGGGGGTGCACAAACAGCCACTGGGTCCCGCCCCCTGATGGCTGCCTGCTGGGGGAGGGGGCCATCAGTGAGTGCATCCCTGCTCATCTGCATGGTGCTTGTGGATCCCCTGGTGAAACATGCCCTGTGAGGGGTGATGCTGTTTGCTCCCTGAAAGGGAGCTGCTCCTTATGTCCCTGGGTGCTTGGGAGCAAGAAATTTCAGCCTCTCATACATGTGGTGCCAGAGCTCCAGAGGCGCAATGAGTTACGTCACCAGAGCTCTGCTGATTTGCACCAATTGAGGAGCTGGTCCTGGGCCTGCTGAGGCTGGAGGGAACCTGGGCCAGGTTCACAGACAGGAGGCTCAGTCCTGGCCGGCGAGGGACAGGCTGGGCTGACAGAGAGCGAGCTTCCCTCTCACGCTGTGCCCAGAGATGGGACCCTGATCTCGGTACCTGCTGCCCTTCCAGTCTGGGCTGCCCCCCAGCCCTGGCCTGCAGAAAAACTGATATTCCCACCCCTGGACATTCACACCCCTTCCCAGCCACGCACACGCTCACATCTGCCCAGGGCGACCGGCCACAATCCACAGGCCCCTGCTTTTGCTCTGCAAAGGGCCCTATACACAGCTCTGCCGATGCCCCTCAATCCCGACCCGCAGCCCCCTGCTATCCCAGCCCTGGCCTCCTCCCACCCACAGCTCTGCCCAAGCACCTCTGTCTCAGGCTGTGCAGTAGATCTGGCAATGAGACTTAGTTCTGGGAGGTGGGTGCTTTGGCCGATGCCCCATGGAGCCCTGTCCTCCTCCAACCTCCTTTCTCCCTCCCTTGTTTTCCTCTCTCCCCTGTTTCTCTGCAGCTCTCAGTGCCAGGAGCTGCTGAGCCAAGAACCTAGGAATTCTGTCACTGCAGAGACAGCTCATAACTTCCCCCAGCACCCAGGCCCACTGCAGCAGAGGGGCTTGAGTGAGTGAGGGTCCCAGCACCCAGCCCGGCTCGTCCCCTCCCCACACACTCGACAAGCAAGCCAGGAAGAGGGTTTGGAAGCATCCTCCATAGAATCATAGACCCATGGGGTTAGAAGGGACCACCAGGGTCATCTAGTCTAACCCCTGCCAAGGTGCAGGATTTGTTGTGGCTAAACCATCCAAGACAGATGGCTCCAGCCTCCTTTTGAAAACCTCCAGTGAAGGAGCTTCCACGTCCTCCCTATCTGCTCCATTGTCCTTCTGTTCTTACCGTTAGGAAGTTTTTTATCTAAATCTGCTATGCTGTAGTTTGAACCCTTTGCCTCTTGTCCTGCCCTCTGTGGCAAGAGAGAACAACTTTTCTCCGTCTTTTTTATGGCAGCCTTTCAAGTAGTTGAAGACCACTATCATACTCCCCCTTAATCTCCTCTTTTCCAAACTAAACATACCCAGTTCCTTCAGCCTTTTGCTCTACCCCTACCTGTCTGGGCGACGGCTCCTGAGAAGCCAGTGAGGACGAGGAGCCAAAACTGCAGCTTCTCCATGTTCTTCACCTGCAGAGCGACCCAGAGGGGCAGGAACGCGGAGAAGGAAGGTGGGAGGTCTTGGACTGCTCTGCCCTGAAACCTGCCCCCAGGCAATGCCAGTCCCCAAATGCATGGACCAGAGGGACCAGCCCCAATTTATATCCCCAGTGGTGACGGCAGCAGAATCTATGTGTAAACAATATTCCAGTATTTGCAGGTCGGGTGCAGTCAGAGTTGCAGATGCAGGGGGTGGATCTGGGAGGTTGTGGGGCTGGCGATCGTTGGCAGTTACTCATTAGAGCTGCACACAGGGCACCAGCCGCACTTTCAACAGCTTCTCCCGAGAAGGGACAGGCTGTTCCCGTTGTGGGGGGGGAGGGCAGGAGGGAGGAAAGGGCTCAGCCAGCCACATGCAGCCATGCAGGGCGTCTGGCACAGCCGTGGCTGCAGTGCTGGCCCCGGGGCCAGAGCTCTCACAGCTGCTGGCAAAGCATCCAGCCACAGCACCCTCCAGCCTACCGTGGCTATGGGATGGTCTCCAGGACAGCAGCTTTTGAGGGGGATGGAGGGGAGGCTCAGCCCACAGGGAACCCCACCCGCCGTAATAGAGCCAGGTCAGGTAAAGGGGCGATGGGCTGCTCACATGCTCTCTGTGTCCATCACCCCCACAGCACCATGGCCCTGCCCAGCACGGCTCCTTGTTACACTATGTGCTGGGTACAGGCGCAGCAGGGCCCTCGTCCAGGGTCAGAAACACCCTCTCCCCACAACCCCACCAGACTTGTCTGCTGGGTGCCAGGAGACTGCAGTGGCTTCTAACCCATCAGCCGCTTCCCTGGCTGATGCATTCTGGGAAGCAGCAGTTCCGGGTCCCAGGGCTGGCGTGTGATGTCATGCCCCTGGCAGGTGACATCAGTGCTGGAGGGAGGGTCTGTGCTGGTGCTGACGGGGTGTTCACAGCAGTACCAAGGAGCGGTCGGGCCAGGTGCTGGGGGGCTTGGCTGGAGCTCCCTGGCTGGCTCTGTCAGGAGATGGGTGGAAGCGGATCTCACCCAGCTCAACCCTGCTATTCTCAAGGGCTGTGGCGCAAAGTGAGCACTAGTCTCCATGGCAGGAGGCAGCGGCCCTGGGAGGGGCTTTGCCTGCACCTGTTGGGACATCGGGGCATCAGTGTCTCGGGGACCCGGCGCTGGGCTCTGGTTCTGCTGTGTCCAGGCAGCTCTCAGCGCGGAGATGAACGTGCCCCTGGCTCAGGCTGCCACCCTGCTTTGGCAGCGGGAATGGGAAAGGCCGGGGTGGGGCAGGATTGCAGGGCTTCACTGTGAGCTACTACGGCCAGTGGCCGGTTGGGCCCAGCTCTCTGTGCGGTGACGAGTGCAGCAGTGGAGGGGTAGTGGCATGGGGTTAGTGCAGCAGAGGGATCAGTGCATTAGCTGTGCTGAGGGCCCATCCCCAGCCATCTCCCCATCCTCCTGGGGAGCTCGCAGCCTCCACATGGGAGACTCCTGTCCTTTCCCAGCAGACCGTTCCCTCCATCCCCTTGCTGGTTTTGGAGTCCTTCCGGCAGAAGCCCGGGCAGGTTTTCTCACTTCATTGGACTCGATAGTGACACAGAGATGGGGGGCCTCCGGAGAAGCCCATCAGGCACAAACGGGCCCAGACAAGGGCCAAAGTTTTCAGAAGCGACGAGTGATTTGGGGCCCCTGGAAGGGCCAGCTCTTGGCAGCAGATTGCTCAGCCCCCTCTGGAGCTGGGCCCTTCCAGATGTCCCAAAAAACGAGACACCCAAAATCCCAAGTAACTTGTAAAAGCATCTCCCCTGCTCCCAGCGTCCAGGGCTCAGCAGCTGGGTGGCTCCCTCCATCTCTCAGGGCCCTCCTACTGCTCCCCATGCCAGGTTCCTGGGTGCTGGCTGCCCGTGGGCTCTGTCAGCCCCTAGCCTGGAGCTGATAACTCAGGGCTGTCCTGTCCGGCCTGGGGCTGGGGAGCCTCTCCTTGTGCAGCTGCCCCATCTGCTCAGGCAACCACACATAGTGCCACACGTTCACCTCCGCTATCTCCCCCACAAACTCCTGATCGGCATCCAATGAGCCCCCGGAGGAGTCCTGGTCCTTCCCCAGGATGATCACTGGCTCAGCCCTCAGCAGCACCCTTCCTGCCTAAGTCTGGCTTGTTCACTACCCCTGCACCAGCCCCGTGGGCAAGTCCCAGGTCAGACAGCTGGATTCCCACTGGGCGCTGCAGCTGTTCAATGGGACATTGAACGTCAGGGGCTCCCTGCCCATGTACATCTGATACTTGGTGGGGCTCTCCCAGCAGAGCAGGAGCTCATCATTGTGTCCCTGGTGGCATAGGAGAAGAGCCCGTAGGGCTGGGTCAGCTGGCTGAAGGATCTCAGGCACATGGTGAAGCTCTGCTGCAGCCTTAGCGACAGGATGGCACATGCATCGTTGGATCCCTTGGGGAACACACAGACCTTTCCGTTTAGGTGCGGAGGGAAGCCCAATCAGGCACTGGCTGAGCTCAGATAGTCTTGGGAGTTTCCTCCCCAACCCCAGTAAGGACGGCAGCACCCCCCTCCCTGCACTGCATGGCAGCAGGGTCCACCTGTAACATACCAGGGCACAGTCCAGACCAATGGGAGACTGCGTGACCCCTGCCTGCAAGGCTATGCTTTGCTGAAGCAGCTCCCACCTGGGCCACTCTCAAACAGCCGTCCAGCATGCAAGCCACAGCCTTAGTATCTGTGACTGCAGCCTGCCAGCCACATTTAGGTTACATGCTGGCGCTCACCAGCCTGGGTTATACTGCAGGGTGACCCCAACACACCCCCTGTCTCAGATATCCCCCAGAAATGTACGTCCTGTGTTGCTCTCTGGACAGTTCAAATATATTAAGTCCATTATTCCTGAAAGGGCAGAATATGCAAGTTTATCATCTCAAATAGTTGTTCAGACACTTCAATTTAAACACACTGGAGTCGATAAAACAGTAAAACAAGCATATTAACTACGAGAGAGATTTTAAGTGAGTACAAGTCATGAGGCATAGAAGTCAGAAATGGTTACAAGAAAAATAAAGACAAGACGTTCACTAATGCCTAACCTAACCACTCCATCAAATTCAGGCAACGTTTCTCTCCACATGCTTTCAGCAGTCGTACTGACCAAACCCTGTAGATCAGGACCCCTGCCCCAGAGTCCAACTAATGCTTTCTTTGTCATTTCAGGTGCAGTGATTGCAATGGGCAGGGAGAGACAGGGGGGTCTCCTGGGTTGTTTGTCTCTCCTTTTTATAGTTTCAGTCCCTCTCTTGAAAAACATTTCCAGCTGGGCACTAGGAGACAAAGAGTTGATGTGACAGGATGTTCCCGGCTGGCTTCTCCTCACCTGTTCATTTCCCTCCCTGCTTGATAAATCTGTTTAGTGCTTAAATGCTCAAGCACTCATTCCTTTGTGTAGGACAGGCCTGTTTGCCGACTTCTGCCTGAGCAGGGCTGTGGAGTTTGGAACATGGGTTAATAACACCAGACAGGGGAATCTTATCACTAAGACTGAGAGTCTGTCACAGAGGTCGTAGAATCTAGACTGTTCTCAGTGGTACCTGATGACAGAACAAGGAGTAATGGTCTCAAGTTGCAGTGAGTGAGGTTTAGTTTGGATATATATTAGTGTAAGCAGAGTCAGGATGAGCTCTACCCTGACACCTGGTGGTGAATTATGGCGAGTGTGGAAAAGAACTCCAGGGGCTGATCTTGTTTGCATAGGCACACCCACTCGCCTGGCATGAAACAATGGCAACTGAAAGTGGTTACTTTGGCTGGTGTGGGATCCCCAGTTTTCTCTGTTGTTGGGGTAGGAAGAATAAAGTTTTGTTACCCTGATTCTGTGAATCAAGGCCAGTGGAACTGTTGTATGACAGAAGGACTGAGTGAGTCCTTCACCATTACCTAAGTAGCACTTGCTTGACAAGGGGTATGGGTTACAAAACCAGGATGGGAACAGGTATTTGTACCTGATGGCCTAGTCCTGGTCCACCTGGGTGTGAAACACTAATTGTACTACTCCCTCTCTCTCCATGGTTGAATATCAGAACTAACTTTGACTCTATTAGGAGTCTAGTTACAGACTGCAGAGCTGAATTCACTTTGGGCCAATGGTGTACTAGCAGTGGGGCTCCCCTACTATGAGCTGAAATTGCTAAGAACTGAAATCACAAAAGAGCTAAATTATTAAGAACTAAGGGTATGTCTACACTACAAAATTAGTTTGAATTTATAGAAGCCGGTTTTATTGAAATCGGTTGTATACAGCCGATTGTGTGTGTCCACACAATAAAATGCTCTAGGTGCTCTAGTCGGTGGACCGCGTCCACAGTACGAGGCTAGCGTCGACTTCCGGAGCATTGCACTATGGGTAGCTATCCCACAGCTATCCCACAGTTCCCGCAGTCTCTGCCGCCCCTTGGAATTCTGGGTTGAGATCCCAATGCCCAGATGATGCAAAACAGTGTCGCGGGCGGTTCTGGGTACATGTCGTCAGGCCCCTCCCTCCCCCGTCACAGCAACGGCAGACAATAGATTCGCGCCTTTTTACCTGGGTTACCTGGGTTACCTGTGCAGACAACATGGAGCCCGCTCAGCTCAGCTGAGCTCACCGTCACCATATGTCCTCTGGGTGCCGGCAGACGTGGGGACTGCATTGCTACACAGCAGCAGCTGCTAACTGCCTTTTGGCGGTAGATGGTGCAGTAGATTGGTAGCCTTCATCGGCGATCTGGGTGCTGGCAGCCGTGGGGCTTGCCTTTTGGCAGTAAATGGTGTATTACGACTGTTAGCCATCCTATTACAAGTCGGGTCATCGTATGTTAGCAGAGTCTTCCCTGAGCAGCCGATTGTGCAATAGGCCTGAAGACCATCGTCATACACCGCCCCGTATTTGCTGCCAAGCACCCAGAAAGATGCCGAGGGCTATCAGTCACGCTGCACCGTCGTCATAAGATGTAAAAAAATAGATTTGCTCTGTATTCATTTGCTTCCCCCTCCCTCCGTCAAATCAACGGCCTGCTAAACCCAGGGTTTTCAGTTTAATCTTTGGGGGGGACCAGTCTGTGAC